GGGGGGGGGGGGGGGGGGGGGGGGAGGGAGTGGGCGTTGCCGGTTAACTTAGAAAAATATTTAAAAAAAAACAATCTCAGAAAGACATTAAAAAACAAATTTCCCCTTCCTTCCTCAGCCTCGTGTTCATTCACGTTCGGAGATGAAAGCGCCTGGAAGTAGCCCGAGTAGTAGCAAGTGTCAACAGCAACCTTTCACTGACAAGACTGATTGATGGCTATCCCTTTTGAGGGTTATTTACAGAAGCAAGCTGATGGCGAGTTTAATTTCCTCGCCTACACCAGTACTAATTTTTACCATCGGAACGAATGTTAATGGATTCTACCCAGTAACTCTAACTTTACGATTACCGTGCAACTTCAAGCGGTATTTTTCGTCGATCCATTCCTTCACCCGCATTCACCATACCATAGATTGTCTCCAGCACAGAACTGAGAATATTTGAGGGGCTTTTGCTGCAAAAAAAATATTTTTTTTCTTTTTTTTCTTAACAAATCGAAAAAACTCCCATGATTTTCCAATTTTCACTCTTAATTTTTCACTAGTATTAATAAAAGTCGCGCATTTCCCCAATAAAATAATAAAAAGATAAAATATAAAAAAATGAGGAAAAACAAATTAAAAATAAGTCAAAGTCTAAAAAAAAATCAGAAATCAAAAAAATTAAAAAATAAGAAAATTTGAACTTCTGACACCCTGAATAATTTATTATCGAAATGAATGAACAAATCGTGTGGAGGGATTAGTTTTCTGTTGGTTGAATTTGAACCCTCAGCGTCTACTGGTATAACAAGTAGCGCACTACTTGTTATATCAAATCATACACGGAGACATAAAATAATGAAAAAAATAATAACATAAAATATAAAAAAATAAAGAAAAAAGTAAAAAAAATAAGTTAAAAAGCTTCAAAAAAGTTAAAAAATTTAGAAAAAAAGTTAAAAATTAGTCAAAAAAATATAAAAACTAAGTTAAATCAAATGAACAGGAATATTTCGGTCCATTAAGCCGTACACATATTTAAAAATGTAACGCCCCAAATGTGTTGCGCAGCCAAATTTTATGCTCACGCATCATTTTGTATAAAAAATATTGTTTTTCTTATTATATAAATTTAAAATTCAGTAAAATTTCGCTAACTTTTTATCGGATCCACATTGAATCATCCGTTGACATAGCTGTACAAAGCAACCCAGAGCACCGGTACGAGTCCGAACATTGTTTGATTTATCGAAACACAGGATAATTTTTACAAGATAAGCCTCCGCAAATTTCTCGATTGATTTCAGTGAAGAAAGTGAATTCAATTTGCTTTTATAAGCAGAAATGAAGGCAGCTCGGGCACTCTTCGCAACACTAGACATATCCTGAAAAAAAAAATTCGGAAATCTAAAAAAAACATCAATTATGTTCTGAAAAATTCAAAAATCTCAACAAAAGTACAGGCTTTTCTCATGAAAACTGGATATATGAGCAGAAAAAATTACTCACATCCTAAAAACACCAAAAATTGAAACTGAAAACACTAAAAAACACCCTGAAAACACCAAAAATCCAAAAACCTCAATAAAACCCCGGGTCTATCTCATGAAAACTAGATAATATGAGCGGAATTAGGCAACAGCGCAGTTCCATGACAATTAATTCGACCTCATTTTACCGGGGTGACTTGCCAAAGGGACGGATTGAACAAACACCACATACAACAAACGAATGAATTTGAATATTTTATGAAGTTGTGAAAAAGGTTGTAACAGAAAATTATAATTAAAAGTAAAAATAAAAAAAAATTGAAAAAAATTGGACAAAAAAAATTGAAAATAAAAATAAAAATTGGAATTTTTCGGTCCATTGAGTCGCATACATTCCCATTCAGTGCTGCTGCAAATGGACAACTCGTCAGTGTGTGACGGTTGCAGCAGCAGCAACAGCAACAGCAGCAGCAAAAGTATTAGAAACATGCAGCATGCTGCAGTCAAAGAGAGAAGAGGAAAGAAAATTAAAAAACTGGACGTTAGGGTAAGAAATTTTTCTAAAAAAACTATCTCCTCACCACCCAATCGTTCACTGACATGATAAGTACGAGGTGAAATGCGACCAGTGAAAAAATCAAAAAAAAAAAAAAATAAAAATAAATGCTTGCGGAGGAATCGCTAGCGCAATGAAGGATGCTTGGTGTATCTCTTCAAAATCACATAAGCAGTGAGATTCTCCGTCAGATGCACGGCATAGAGAATATCACAGCAATCATTCGAGAAAACTACAATTACTGTGATACTCCGAACCAACAGCAGCCATCCCCTAGCAAGGTTGTCGACAGCTTCCTCTTTCGAAAGTTACTTATACGCAAATAATATTTTTTCGTAAATAATTAAAAAAATTTTTTTAAAACTCAAAAAGTTAAGAATACATTTTATATTTAAAAATTCACATATTTATTTGCATATATTTTAAAATTTGCATATTTGCATATATTTCAAATTTAAAAATTCGCATATTTATTTGTATATCTTATGTATTTTAAAAATTTACATATTTTAAAAGTCCAAAAAATTTAACTTACTTGTTCCAGAATGTTACTGATTTCATCGCCGTAAGAAGTGAAAAATTCCGTGACCGATTTGTCATTTAGACGCTTGAAAATTTCATTAAAAATTCGAAAAGCTTTTTTCTGGAAAGCCATTTCAGTGGACAAAAACCATGGATGTACAATTGAAAATATCGTATTCAATCCAGAAACAGATGCACTGCTCACCAGTGCTGCTGTCAAATCCAGTACACGAATCTGCAAAAAAAAATTATGTGAAGGCAGAAAACGAGAAGCAAAATGACGTTTGCCCAAAACTTAAAAAAAAAAACACCGTAATGGCTAAAAATGTTTAACAGTTATTAGATTTTAGCCTCAATATTAAACCTCAATTCGATTTCCTCAATATTGAACCTCATTTTGAATCCCGTGAAGAATGATTTGTCGTGTAATAGATCAAATAATAATGCTTTCTGTTAAAAGTAGGTTAAAGAACAACTGCGTTACTATGACGCAATACCCCTGTCCCTGGTTCAAACTTTGGCCACCTTATCCTCACTGAACTTCCGATCTTTGTCCCTTGGGGTATAAAAGCACTTCTTCCCATCGCCGGGATCGTCACTACCCATCCACCATTGCAACCTATTTTTATTTAACTTATACTCTTATTCTGGGGGGCGTCGCCTCCTCAGAGTCTCACTACCTTCTTTTGTGTTATCTTTTTGATATTCCGTGTATTAATAAATATGTATATAGGACGAGACGTCATATACACGCACATACCCATACACACTCCTACAAACGGGGCACACACAAGCCTAATAAGCTAACGGTCGGGGTCGCGACTGATAAGTAACGGCCATTCGAAGGTCGAATCAGAAGTGGGGACGGTCCAAGTGGGGCAACCGAAGTGGGTTAAATTGATAAAAAAATTTTTTGCGATCTCTGCTAGGCCGAATCATAATTTCTGAAGTAGCGGCCAATCTGAACAGTGGAAAACCAGAATGGCCGAAGTCCTCGAATTTTAATGTAAGGTAGAATTAGTAAATGGATTAGTAAATCGGCCCATTAAGTCATATACACCTTAACTCAACACCGCGACAGGATCTCGTCTGTATGTGTAAGTTCCTACGAGAATCGGCAACAATCGCGAGTGGGCCGGGTGGTAGCACTTTGCCAACAAGCAACCACTCGCTGGTCAAGCTCACAATGTCTTCTCGTTCGAGAATTTCTCGAAGCTAGTTGATGACTTCAATATCTTCGCATGCGCTAGTAATAATTTCCTATCGAAACGAATGAGCGAATCGTAAAGGGACTTCCAGTGCTTCACTGGTGGGAGACAAATCCTGTTAACAACGGAGCAAAAAGTCAAAAAGATGCATCGGACACACACACGTACACACACACACACACACACACACACACATACATACATACATACACGCACACCACACACACACACATACACATACACAAACACACACACACGCACACAGACACATACACATACACACCACATACACACACCACATACACATACGCACACCACACACACACACACACACGTACACACTCTACATACATACATACATACATACACACACCACATACATACATACACACACCACACACACACACACACACACACATACACACACACTACACACGTACATACGTACACCACACACACACACCACACACACACATACATACATACACACACATACATACAGACAGACAGACAACCCTGTGACAATATGCGCTTTGTGCAGCTGTTGCACAACATAAAATGCATAAAAATGCTAAGAAAAGAAACCTTTTGATCTAACGGCATTGTTTCGATTTGCAGTTTTTCAACGGCTAAATTCGTAAAGTTATCAACCACATCGCATGGCGTCAAATCCATGTACAAACGAACTGTTTCCAGAATGGAACAACGTAAAGTCCGCAGACTGTTGCCAGTGGTACCTTCCACTTCCTCCATCGTTGCATTCGAAACAGTATATAAACTAAACAGTTCGCGAAGAAAACTATATGCAAATCGACGCATTACATCCTGAAATTTGCAGAATCGATCGTTAAAAAAAACTCTTTTTTTTTGAAAAATCTATAAAATAATTCAAGCGGGCTAAACTTACCGACTCAGCCGTCTGTGCCTACAGTTCAGGGATGAAACGCCTACTCTAAATACCGGTTTGCATACCTGAGATACCTAAATGCCTTTTTTTTTTTTGGAGTTTGACCACATATTAAAATTCGACTGTTTTCCTTTGTTGGTCTACACTATGACCAAATTACACATGTGGCCGTAAGAAACGTCTTACCCCGTCTTGCTTCAACCTTTTAAAACTGCTTAATTTCATTATTTTCATTAGCAATTTAGTAGCATTCCAAATTTTCCAGTGCTTAAACAGGCTACTAAGTCACTGTACCAGCAGGCTTGCTTATTTGGGAGATCTAAATGGCATTACTTCCATTGTGCTTTCATTAATTATCAAAATTCGATTGTGTCCCTCTCCACGATGATGATGGGCTAGCAACGCCAAACAAACTGCATCTGTTAACACATAGACGATTTCAGAGTCCCAGACCTCTTCCAATCTCCTAGCCAGCAGGGATATTCATTGTTTATCTCTCTAAAATTTCTACAAAACTTACAGATGTCATTTCCCTTCCTTTTTTTTTTACCCGAGCTTCTCTGTAAAGTTAGAAATATATTGCCC